ATATAGATATATATATATATGTAAAACATAAATGAAACTATTTAATAAAAAAACTCCTCTATCTTCTCTCATTCCACACAAGTAATGTGTTACTATTGATGAACTGCTCAGCAGCCTCAGTGCCATTTTCATTGATGCTGTGAAAAACTCAGTAAAAACAAAGTCTTTGAATTCAGGAAAAAAACCCAACTCTTATAAATAATCGCTGGGAAAAAATGATCAAAAGGAAAATGTCAAATCACGTATCCTTCTTACTTGCCATTCATGAGATTTGTGAAAATGCAACTTAACTCTCTCTCCTGAAGTATTAACCCTCCTATACACAAAATTTTGATTAAAAATGTTGAGGTGACTAGAAACAAAGAATGAGACGTACGGCTTTTAAATCACATTGTATTCTTCTATACAATATACTTTCCCTATCAATGACAGTATTAAGTGAGACCGAAATGTTGCTTTCTTAGTAGCTATTATTTACAAGACACTAAAAAGAAAACATCCCTTTCTAGTACTAATATTGTAGCTATCAGGACCGCAAGGACTGAAAGTACTGTGCCAGTGAACTGGTACTCTGTAGCAGTCTGGTACCGAACAGACTCTACAAAGTCGCTGTCTCAGGCAAAGGCAAGTCAGAGGAAGACAGAGTTTTTTGACTCACACAACCCTGTCTGCACTGTGAGCTAACTGTAGTCTATGGATCCTTCTGGTGCCAGAAAGGGAAAAACACTTCCCTAATTAGGTTTGTAATGGTAACAAGAAAACATCCACAGCCTGCAACTCTGAAGTTTGCTAGCGGGACTACGCTGTGTTTCTGAGTCCACAACAGTTTCAGAGTCTTTTTTTGGCAGCAAACACACTTTAGATCACACTGACAAGAGAACTCGAGAGCTGTTTTCAAAACACAGTGGAAGGCAATGGGAGTCCACATGTTATGCCACAGAGTACTTTTTGAAGTAATGTGTATTTTGAGTATACCCACCACATTGAACTCTTGAGGTGATTATGGCCTGTATTACTTTTGGGAGAGATGCAGGAAAGTGAAGGAAATTACAAGAGCCAAGAAGTGCCCCATACTCAGCCACAGACCTCTGTGTGGTTGTAATTACCACTGAAACCCCACAAGTACTGTCTACCTGCAGCAGCTCCAAACAACTGGCCCTGGAGACGGGGGCAGCACAAATGTACAAGTCTGCACCCTGAGTCCAAGTGTGTAGCACTTTCCCAGCTTTGCTGTGATCTGCCTGTGACCCAAGCCTAAAAGAACCCTTCCCATAAGTATGGGAGAAGAAAACTAGGCAATAAGCAATTAAGGAAGAATTATTAAAACCTAATGAGCTCCACAGAGAGAAGCCAGAAGCGTAAAACTTAAGATGGAGAAAGAACACAGGCAGACACAGATCAAGACGGAGACTGTCTGACAGAAGGTGGTGAGAGCTCTGCAGAGGCATGGCGCAAAGATGCAGTGCAGCTCGGGCATGTTCGTGTGCTGATCACAAGCCTGGGAAGAGCTGTTGTTCTATGTGGGCACGGGTATGACAGCCTGCCAGGATTCACCTAACATCCAAGTGTATGAAGATGACAGCAGTGGAGCAGAATGAGTGATCAACACACAGAAAATGCTAATCTGTTCCTGGAACACCATGCCAAGCAGGAGACAGCAATCCTAAACTTGGCACTGGTTTCAAAGTACTCATCATTTGATGGCTTTACTTACCTAGCTGAGCTGTTATCATGACTCTAACAGAATCACAGAAGTTGTCTATAACTCGTACAGGACGACGTGTTGATAAATCAAGCAGCAAGATATGTCCTCCTCCTGTCCCTATCCACAGTGCAGTATTTTTCTGCAGGCAGATTGTCTTCACTCTTCCAGAATAAGCCAGTTTATGTTTTGATTCCTTATTTAATTTTTCCACTTTGCCCCTACGAGTATGGAGAGAATTTGTATTAAAATCCCGTGGCATGCTATTCCACAACTGCTAAAATGACTCTTTCAGTACCAGCCTTTTCAACAATTATTCATCAAGAGAAGCTGCAAAAAACTTACACTAATCAGTTGATTGACTTGAAACAAACTTGGATGAAAACTACTGGACTTCCAAGACCTGCCAGGTCTGCTCTGAAAGACCTTTAAATAGGAGGCAGGTGCACTTCTCTGTTCTCTCTCCCAGTCTCCAGGAGAATAATGTCACTGCAAAGTGGGAGCAGCACACCTAAAGCTGCTCATAACCTCACCACGAAAATGAAATGGATGTGGCACATTAAGGGAGAGCTACAACTTAAATGCAAATGAAAATCACCATCACTGTTAATAAAACTCTGATCCCCTACTGAATCTGTGCACTGGAGAGAGAAGAAATTCTTATTCAGGGGATGCAGGAAGTAACTGGATGCAAAAGCATTAGAACCTGAAGGACAGCAAAAGACTTACTTCCTTAAGCAGAGTTAAATGAATTTTGACATCACAGACAAATTGTGAAATATAATAAGGGTCTTAAAAAACTGAGATTCTGCATGGGATATTCTGAAGTTCTGGGCCAAAAGAGAGGAAAGGATTTCCACATTTGCACAAAGAACTGGGCAAATCCCTTACCTCCAGCAGGTTGAGGTACTGTGCTAGAGAAGGCACTCTGATATTCAGCTTTCTATGCATCGGGCCGTCAATCTGAACTAAAACACTTACTTCAGAAAATGTGCACAGTCAATTAGTTCTGAAAGTTTTTCTGTCTTCTTGTCCCAGATTTCCACAAAATGGCTGTTTTTCTTTGCCAAGTAGATGGATTTGTCTATTGCTATTGAAATAATATTAGCATCACTATAAGCATTATGACAGAACCTAGAAGAGAGAAGAACTCCAGTTAGATACACAAAAAATATCCAGTAGAAAATGTGACTATTATGAGTGGGGTTAGCTTCCCTGTAACTCTTACAGAATGATTCTTTATTTTCAAAACTGTATACAGTTTTTGCTCCACAAAACTCAAATTATTCCTCTGACATATTTTGCATCTTGCCATTGAACTGCATTTTACTGACATGTTAGTTTCTTGCTATATATTAATACATTATTTTCTAAAGCAAATGAATTTCCCAGAATAATGATCTGTACTAGCGTAAAATCAAACACTGTTTTCCCTGCTCAGGAAAAACTCCCCTTAACTTCAGAGCAGGATCTGCCCATGTAAGAATTACATCAAACACTCCAAAATCTTCAGTCTCTAATTTGTAAATAATGAGAAGTCGGCAATCATACATGATTTAACTATACAGGACAAAGATATGCACATGTATCAGACTGCCAAACACGTAAGGACCAATACTATGGTAAGTATGTGTGCACAATTCTAAAGAAAGTAACCAGGGCCTGGACAAATGCAACTGGAGGAGAAAAACAGATCAGTTGCATTTATACAGTTTCTGAAGAGATACTGACTTCATAAATCCTTTATATAGTAAAAATACACATCCCTTGTTTAAGAGCAGCAATAAATACTTTAAACACTCCTCACTGATCTTATTTTAAATCACATTGTATTCCACTTGTATTATGGAAGGAAAGGAACAGAAACAAGAGAACTCAAAGAACAAGCTCTAAAATAAGACATCACTTCAAAGTACTGCCAGAAATCTTCAATGGAAACAACAAAAGAGCCAAGTAACATCACTTATAAAAAAAACACCTTACAGCTGACTTGTCTTTGTTTCAATGAGTTTTTGAACAGAGAAATCAGTAGTCAAGGCAATGATCTTTGTTCCACAGCCTCCCCAGATTATATTTTTTTCAGATAAGTAGGAGGATTCATTTAAGCACATCAGTGGTGTGCTAATATTTCCTATAGTTAGTATCTTCAGAGGTGTAGCACCCTTACACTGCAACAAAAAAATATACTCTCCATTAGAAACAAGGCGTACACGGACAGTCAGAAACTGTTAAAACAAAGGTCA